TCATCGTTGCCAGGCCGTTGCCACTTCCCACCGTGTCAATGTGGCACTCCCCGAAACTAGGCATGCTAATCCTTATATACCCACTATTTACACTATAGGTATTTACCCCATTCGGAAAGATCCAATTAAAGTACAATAAAAGAACACTTAAGAGCTGAACATTCCAATTACAAGGATTACAAGGGTTAGGAATCTCAAGACTGGTAGGCTTGATTGAGGTATTCAGCCCAGAACAATAGCCACTGACCCATTCTGTGTTAAGTAGATCTACAGGTGCTATGCTTTCCTTACATTGAATTCTTAATAATGGAGAATCCGGCATGAGTTACAAGTCCCAAATAAAATAGACTTCAGCATTCATCACCAACTTTTCTTAATTAAAAAAGTGTGGTTGGGACTATTGACAGTACACATGTTCCCATTAAAAAAAAAAATTAGAACATGATTAATACTCTAGAGTTTAGAGGCAAGATGTTTTTATAGGTCATTGGTTTGGAAGTAGTTTTCCTGTCCTGTCCTTTTACTTTCTTAATGATTATTTTCTATATATGTTTAGGGAAGTCCAGTTGAAGTGTACCTCCCAAACCCAGAGAGCCCAGGTAATGTAGTGGACTTTGGAATAAAACTTCAGGTCATCGACGGAGAGTTCGCCCTGAATGACATAGTGGAAAATGGTCTAGCTCAGGCGGCTGGAATCGAGTATGTGAAACTAAAGAATTAAAAAAAAGACTTTGCGAACATCCCTGAACTATAATGATTAGCATTTCATGCACTTTAAGTTTGAAGACCCTGATAGCAGATCTCTGTGTTGTTGCTATTTGCCAGGAATGGCGATGTGCTGGTGGACGTCAACGGTGCGAACATCGAGGCGTGCAGTGCCCAATATATCTTAGATATCCTCCGTACAAAAGTGAAGCCCAAGCTTCTCTTGGTGAGTATTGTGGTGGAACTTGGCGCTTCCTCGTTCCAACCGTGAAGCACCCCCTCATCGGTTGAAAAGAGCCGCGCTGGAATATTCAGTTTCTTGGTAGCTATGCGACTACAACGCGAGTGTTTCCTAGTCGTTCGTGAACCAGCGATGCCCAGTTAGTACCAAAAGGAGCCTCTGTTGCTGAGGAAATAGCAATTACAGTGACTGCAGGCATGCTGACAATGCAAGAGACGTAGCCATAGCCGTGTATTAAAGCTCGTTCCGAACATACAAGTCATCATCCTCAGCACCAACCGGCACGCGTTCGCTCACAGTTAGTCACTTTGGTTTGCTATGGTTGTTGATCCAACTTCTTTCATCCTTGTTTCGTAACCAACTATAATGCGCCAGGAGAAGAGCAGGATGTGATAAAAAAAATCAGGTATATAAACATTTTGATACTGTTCCGAAACACCTTTCAGTGATGCCTGTTGCCTGGGAACTAACTCTTTCTAACCGATTTTGACAGGCCGTAAAGCGCACATCGGATGATGGAAAGTTCGTGTTTGTGTGGAGTTTCTTCGAAGTGGTCATTCAAGGTAAACAGCAGCATAGTTTTCCGGGCCCTCTTTGAAAGGAAGTCCACCCCAGACACTGACGTAGATACAATCTGGCTTCAAGACTCTGATAGTATGACTATGGCTTCGAAAAAGAGGAATACTAACGCTCCACTTAGTAGAGCTAAGCTCAAAGAGTTTCTCTCTGCTTGAAATCCGATACCGAAATAAAAATTTCAATAAATCGCCCCAAGCCTTAAAGACTGAACCAAAACCTGGGCCCCAAAAGACATAATGCACTGAACATTCATTTTAAGACAGCGCCCTCACATTTGATAAGATCAGTTTAGTAATCCACGGGGTAAGGGTGTACTCCCCCTCCTTTTCATGTTGTTACAAGTACCCCTTTTCCTGCACAGAGGTCCCCTTTATTCACGAGCGCCCCTGAAGAGAACCCAATTCAAAAAAATAAAAAATGTGTCGAGCTTCTCCCCCCCCCCCACATTCGATTTTTTGGGGGGGTGTTGAATGCCCTTTACATATTTACCCCTCCCTGAATCAAAAAGATCGAATAATGGCTATGTGCACTGCAGTTCGCAAAGAGACCCCAAACATGTCTCACATAAAAAGGTAACTTATTGTAAAGCGCCGATTTCAGGAGCACAGTCTTGAGAAAACTTGATGGGAAGTTACTAAGGTAGGAAACTTGGATGAAACAACAAAATAATACAGTCACACGTCAAAGTATCGTGTTTGCGAACGCTTCTTTCTTGACTTCGTTTTCCAAATCCCAAACCACGTCTACCAAAAGCCTACAACGGGGTATCCAGCTTCAGGTGTGTGCATGAGTTTGTTTCTGCATGCAATAGGGGACCCTGAACAATAGAGGACAATAAGGTCCCCGATTGACTGAGGGTCCCCGATTGACAACTGTGTACAAAACATATGGGTGGTCTTCTAAAAAAGTACGAACAATAGAGGAACAATAGGGGGTCCCCAGTTGCAGGCAAATACACACTTCCTTGGGTGTGTGGGTGTGTGTGTGGGGGGGGTGGCAAATTCAAAAGTGAATACGGCTTCGGCTCATTCCACATGATGTTGGAGAGAAAAAATCAAAAGCCTTGCTCACGGTGCCGACATCCTTGCTTTTATAGTGTTGTTTTCTTAATCAAAACTGATTGCATTCTGTCCTCCTCACCTATGAAGTATTCTTGAATAAAAAAA